TACCGTTATATGGGAAGTGGGCGTGGTTAAAGTCCGATTTCGCCCATTTTCAATACCAACCTACCTTGGATTAAGGGAAACCTACATACCAAATTTCGTTGAGATATCTCAATTTTTGCTCGAGTTATCGTGTACACGGACGGACGGACAGACGGACAGACGGACGGACAGACAGACATGGCTTAATCGATTTCTTTTTTTCATCCTGATCATTTATGTATACATTTGTCTATATCTATCTCGATTCGTTTTGGCTGTTACAAACAACCGTTATGTGAACAAAATTAATATACCCTTGTGCACAAGTGCGCTCGGGTATAAAAATTGACGTTTAGAGGTATTTTCAAATCCGTCCAGTTCACGTATGTAATCCCTACTATTTTCCCGAAATATTTTAGCGGAGGTGTTAAAATATAATGTATTTTATAATTCCGGTGGAAAAAAAATCCGCAACTTTTTTGTGAGGCACACTAATGTCTATATATTACTATCTCATAAAGCTGAACATTTTTAAAAATTTCCCGTTTATATTGATAAGAAGCAAATATTTCGATTTATTAAAAGTAATTTAATTATATAATTTCATTAAATTTCGCTTCGAAACTGATTACTGACCGATTTAGGCTTTCTCTGCACTTTTAGTTCGCATGAAAGATTTTCGAAGTACTCTACCTCACTGCAAATTAAGTAGAATTGAAGAGAGCACATCTCTAATAGAAATCACTTCAACGTCGCTAGCACTTAAGCACATAAATGCATCTCAGATGCTTTTAATAATAGTCGACATGGCGTAGCTACGGGAATGTACATTTTAACGAATGCCACGGCGTATACGCAACTATAAAAAGCAATAAAATGGAACGATCGTTCCCTATCCTATCAAATATATTTATACTACAGTATACATAGGTACAAACATATGTACATACTATACATGTATAAGTATTACATTTAGTAACCATCAAACCTGCACAAAGGATTGTCATAAATGTTGACTAAAAGGTGTTAAATTGCGGCGTCGCACGCAAAAGGCAACAATAACTAAAACTAAATAAAAAGGTACAATGACGAAAGGCATGCAGTCGCAGCAAAACAAACGCAAACGAAGTGCAGTGCACAAAAAGCGTACTAAAACGAAATTAAGTGCAACTCAAAACCACTCATAGTTGAAAGCAGGGCAGACGCCAGCGTCCAAAACGCGCTTCAGTCCGTAGCACATAGCCAATGTGCTTGACAAAAACAAAAGAAAAATGTATATTTGAAACTGTGTTGCACACTCAATGCGCCCAAAATGGCTAGCAGACGACGTGAAAGTAATGCAAAAACGAAATGAATATGAAACAAAAACAACAAAAATGCTCGACAAGTAAGTAAGCACACTCGCCGAGAAACAAAAGCTAGAAACTGAAAGTGTACTTGTGAGCCGTTATGGCGACAGAAATAGCAATAACTATAGTCATATAGTCGTAGTTGGCAGCAAAAGGATCTGCCACAAATTTGAGGTAGCCAACAAAAGCAGCACTTTACAGAAGTACGCAAGTGCCACAGCAGCAGCAAGGCGGCGCAAACCTGGGCACTTCAAGCAAGAAATAACGAAATATTATACATATGTAGGTTCGTATAGGAAAGAGTGGGAGCACACGGCACGCTTGGTCGTTTACTGAAATTCAATCGGTGGCCGAAATTGTAATCAAAACTGTTACCAAAACTACAGCGTAACTTACATATGTAAGTCGACAGCAAGTAAGTGGTGTAATTGAGAATGGAAGTACATATACATATGTACATGTATATTAGGGAGCCTATCGAAAAAGCTTTTTTTTTTGCAAATTTCAAGACCCTACCCTTAATTTTATTCGTTTTTATGAGAAACATTATTTCCTATTTTTATAGATTTTTTAAAGGTCATTTAGAGGTCGCGACCTGTCGATTTAGAACAGAAAATGCGATTTTAAGGATTTATGAGTTTTTGAATTACTATTTTTGATTCCATTTCCCAAAACGAATACGATCTGAGCAGACGATATATAGGCCTTTAAAATGGTATATAAAAATCTATTGTTGCACTAGGCTTGTTGGGCTTTTTTATCGGGTAAACTAAAAAAAGACTCCTATTTTTCAAAATTTTTTTAAATTTTGACCATCGATAATTTCTACAATTTTAAAATATGGAGCACTATTTAAAATTAAATCTATTTTCAAATAAGCTGATACCGCATTTATAGCAATCGCATAAAAATTGTCGAAGTTAGGCGACTTTTTATATTTTATAGGTCCTCCAAAACCCTCGAAAATGCAATGGGGGGCCAATAAAAGATCTTTAATACTAAAAAATGGTTAAATAAACAATTGCAAGACTTCTGAAGAGAACCACAGTTTTGCGATGGAAAAATACTGATTTGCAAGAATTTTATACCGTTTCAACGAAAAGTTATTTTTCCCATATAAAAATACATGGAAAACTTTGAGCACTGTGAGCAATCCCTAAACATTTTTTTTTTTTAAATAAAAGTTAGGGGTATATTTTTTAGATTCAGAATGATCCCAGGGGTGGCCGAATTTAAATTCCGACTTTATTGTTTTTGGAAAACCCTAATGTACATACATACATACATATTTTTCGAATACAAAAATGAGCGCGCGCCAAAGCAGCTGGGTTTGGGATATTTTCGAATCCGAGGACGAAAAGAAAGTCACTAGTTCCATATGTGGTGAAGTTTTGTTTTACAACTGCTCCACATATTCTCTGAAATTCGTAAAAAAAAAATAAACGCAAAATGGGACGTAGGTATTACTTTAGCCATTGTCTCTAAAATATTACGCAATAAAATTTCAATAATTAGCGCACTTTTAGCCGAAGTTTGCCACAATGAAAATCTAAACGATAGACCTAATAAATCTAAGAAGAAACGGCTGGAATATTATGCAGTCGTCGTTACACACGAACGCCAAAAAGGAAAATTAAAAATGCAAAAAAAAACTTGAGCTTAAAATATTCGATTAACCGAAAATAAACGGCTAACTGAATAATCTAATGTAAACGACTAATCGAATAGTTGACAGCTTTCGATTAAACGAATATTGCTAACCGAAAGTGTAGTGGAAAGAGTTCGTACTCTTCAAAAAGAGGTTATACATTTAAAATTAATTGAATTTTTGCCATCATATTTCTATTAAATCCACCTTGTTAAATTTCAGAACTTTAGCAAATATACTCCTTCCTATCAACACAATTCTGGACAGATATTGAATAGGGTCTTCAAAGTTCCGTCCGCCCCGGTGAGTTATAGCTATTGCAGCAAGTAATGTACTTCAGCCCAAATTGAAACGAAACTCCAAGGATGTGGCAGACTCTACAGGATAAATACTACTTACAACTACAATAAACTTCGTGCCAGAAAGTGTGGCCAATAAATTAACTCATAGACAACCACAAAATAATTCGTGGTATAGGTTGAATTAAGTTCATATGAATGCCATGTCATTGCTGTGCATGTTGCGGTGACCCGTCGTAGAAGTAACGGTGTCTAAGAGAGGACATTTTTCTGCCTTAACGTACATAAATTCGGTCTTAAAGAAATTAGCGGAGAGCATGTAAAAGAGGCAGAGGTGTTCTCACTGAGCTTTATGGTAATTTCTGATACCAAATGCAGATAAGAAAGTTAAAAAAAATGCTTGGCTAAGTTTAATCCAAAATTAATTTTTTATACTAGAGAATGCTTTATAAATGCAGTTCAACTTGGCCGACAAAGGAAAAGCCAATTTTTTCCATAAAGAATACTCCTCCACAGTGAAGTGTTTGCACTCCGAATTTGCAAAAAAAATGCCGTGTGATATGCGTTTTTTTTTTTTATTAAAAACGAACTCCCTCCATACTTATACATATGAACTTATTTTTAACTGAGAATTCAGCTGCAGGTATTCATTGCAAGCTTAATTTTTAATAAAAATAAACAATTTAAAATCAGCATCATAATTATTCACGCCCGACCCGTCAAAGGTTTTATCGATAAATGAAGAAAAAGAAAACAATGAGTGAAGTATATAATGCGGAAGAGGTGAATGAATGCATACAAAAGTGGGCGAAAACGATGATGAAACAATATTAACAACAATAAAAGTGCTTGAATGCCAGGGTGTTACAATAATTGCATGAAACCAACAAAAAATCGCATGAAAATCAATTGAAATGAAAGAAGGCAAACACCTTGACTGAACATTCTCATTTGTACAGGGCGTGCAACGATGAATGGCACAGTGACGTTTAATGTACAATGCAATGCAATGCAATGACGAACAACAATAACAACAAACGCACAAACGAGTGTATCAAATAATGAGGGAAGAAAAGAAAATGAAACGATCAAACGAACCAACGAACAAGGAAATGAAACAACCAACCAACAAAGAAACATACAAACGAACGAACAAACAAACGAACGAACAATTAAATGAACGACAAACAAATATTTGCTACAACGAAGTAAATTTACCAGAAGAAGGAAGTGAATAGAGTGGCCAGTGAAAAGTAACACAAAAACAAGAAAGCACATCAACTGTCGCTGACATTCGGCTAGTGCGGTTGCGTTTTCTTGTTTCCCTTTGCCGACGGTTAAACTGCCAGGCAGACAACAAAAAAAAGCTAAAAGAAAGGCTAAAAGCTTTTAAAGAGGGGCATGGCGGCGGTACTTGACAGCCAGTTGGTTAGATGAAGAAGACAGTTGGATGGACAGCCTGTCTGACTGCACAAGCAAGCAACTATAGACCCTTCAACACCGCCCACTCGCACACTCCCTCTTTAAAAAGCAGCGATGACAATGAGTTTGCAGCGCGCGTTTTACTGACTATTTGAATGACTGTTTGAGTGACCGCTGCACTGACAGTTTGACCGACGACGACATGTACACTGTCTTCACTTTTTTCTTGTACTGTTCTTTGTACTGTGAGCATTCTATGCTTTCCCCCTTCCTCTCCACCTTCTTCTGGTTAGACCAGCTCACCTGCAGATTGCTGAGTAGCGCCTGGAAGTATGGCATCGCTAGTAGAATACTGGTGCGACTGCCACCATTGGTGGCGCTTGTAGATTTTGGCGCTTCACTGCCGCCACTTTCGTTGGCCTGTTGTACTAATTGCGACTGCTAAGCGATGGCGATAAGTTGAAAGGTACGCGGAAAGAAAAGTTAGAAGAAGAGAAGACAATAAATATGCAATTAGTTTGAGTGAGAATATTTTAATTATTTGTTTTTTTTTATTGTTTCACAAAACAAAATGGAAAACGGCTGAAGGAGAAAAATGTAATTTTTGAAGATGAGCATGAAAATAAGACAACAAATACTTATATCCATGTAGTAGAAAGAAACTGAGTACCGTGCAAAAACAGTACGAAATTTAAATTACACAAAAAAAAATTTAAACACCACTTCAACAAGCTTCAATTGCTCAAAACTCATAAAAGATAAACCAAACGACAGACAAAAAAAAAAAAACAACAACGAGCGCATAAATTTCGTTGTCCACAAACAAAGAAGACACAGCAAACAGCAAAAAAGAAAAGGAGTAAAAAAATATGTACAATTTCATATTTGAACGCTGACAATATTACGAAAAACGTATTACTCTTGTTGTCAATGCAATCGTTGCAGCAGTCTCCCTATTGCTGCAAGCACACACGCCGACGCTTTAAAGGATGCACGCTTGCTTGGTCTGCTCGCTCTCTGCGCACATACAAGTGGAATAACTGGATTGAGCAAATCTTATTAGGAACGCTATGCAGTATGCGCACATTCAGCCAGCAATACATACAAGTACAAATATATATTAGGGTGCATCACTATCCATAAAAAAAAATCCGTACTGTTTTTCATCGGAGTTGTAGCATTAATTAAATTTTAAGACTTGCTCCACATTACTTCGGAAAAATAATAAGGTTTACTCGCGCTGGTTCGATTTGAAAATTCCACAAAAAATCCGATTTTTTTTGGTTCCGTTGATACCATTTTTAAACATTTTTATGCAGAACTTTTACACTTAAACTCTTCCATCATCTGAGGTAGTTTATGAAAAAAAAAATGTTTAACGTAATTTAATTATAAAGAAATCGATTTTTGGCGGTATTTTCAAATCACTTCAGCTCACGTAAATCTCAGTTTTTTTCCATAACTCTTAAAATATAATAAAATCTATTCTTCCGGTGGAAAACCCGCAACAATTTTGGCTGAGGCATCCTAATGTACATACATACACATGCATACATGTGTACATGCAGGAGCACCACAAAGCAAGCGGCAAGAGCCAGAGCAACAGAAACAGACCTGCATCCTTTGGGATTCGCTTGCAACTGCAGGGCAGATGGCATGCAGCGCAAACGATGAGGAAAACTATCAAATTAAGAAAAGTTGATAAACATTGTTGTGGTCACAATATCCGCAGCAAAGCAGCATATCCTACAAAAACTTTGCCAAGATACTGCATCGAAGGAGAGTCAACGCAGCTGGCTGGTTATTAAGAAGGGCTTTCCTGTTGATATTTGAGCCGTTCGAGTGGCTTTCTTCGTGGTGTGCAAACAAACTATCAAACCATATACCAAGTAAAACCTGCATTTTGTCGGACAATTTCGTACGCCATTAAACGCACGCACACACGCACACACGCACACACGCACACACGCACAAGTATAATATAAGGGTTTCAGCAGTCAAATAACAGCAGTAAAGCCAAGCTACCGCAACCCGGTTACTCTTTTGCCAAACTATAGGCATCTTGTTGCTTTAGGATTGCTTTGGATAATAGAACTGAGGTTTTATCCAGTTGACGTTGCTCTCCTCTATATTCGTAGTTATGTAATTTAAAGTAAATCTAAAAGAAGTCACTCACCTCGTTCTCCATGATGTTGCTGTCCACATTTTGTGCCTCATCGGTTTTGGGTCGTCGATTGCGTTCACGTCCATTTTGTTGTTTGCGGCGTGTGGTTTGTGAGCTGTAAACACAAAAAATTGTAGATTTAAGAAAAAAAATCGTAGTAATAAAGTGAAAGCTGGAAAGCGAACAAAACCTAGGACTAAAAAAACTGGTAACTGGTTACTGGAATCCAAACCTTAAAGCACATAATTATGTGCGTGTGCACTGAGTAACAATTAATGATTACACCAGCACAAAAAAAATTATCTGTGCTGAATCCGAATTCACTCGAAATTGTGAGGGTGTACGAGTCGGTACGAGTCGGTACGAGTATTCGTTAGTTTTTGAAAAAAGTTCTATCAAATAGATACTATGTATGTGAACCTGTTGTAAACACCGCGATCAAATGATATGGTCTAACAAAATCTATGTATGTAAATCCAAATTTCTGAATACATACATACACTGCCGGAAAAACGTATTGGCACAGCGAATTTTTCACAACACATGCATCAATTTCTATTCTAATTTTGTTATGTTCTTATAAAAAACGTGCAAGTTCGGAGTTAGTCAAAAATCGCATTTAATTTGTGAGAATTTTTTCGTTGAAGGTGTTTTTTTGCATTTTTTTCATATGAAATATTTTCGAAGATTTTTTTTGTATAGAAGAGATTGCGTAAAAAAAACTGACAAAAATTAAACGGTAATTCCTAGCTACTTAAAACTTGTACTTTAATATAATAAAATTGATTGTACTACATATCTGCATACCGAAAAAATTCTAAAAAATCTGATTAAAAAGCAGAAAATTTGCATGAAAATTTGCTGAATTTTCGTGAGTTTTGCTCAAAGTTTAGGAATAATATTTTTATGTTTTTTTTTTGCTGTAGAATGAACCATATTTTTATAAAAAAATTGGCGGAAAAATACTAGAAAAAAAATGTTGCATACAATGGGTGAAAATTTCTCAACTGGACCTCGGATTTCAGTCAAGTCGGAATTTTCGCGTGAAAATTTGTTGGTAGAGAGGTTTATAGTTGTGAAAGGGATTCCAGAAAAAATGGACTTGATAAGATTATTTTAAATAAAATACCACAAATCCCATCATTATTATAAAAGGTTATGTTACAAGTCGCAAATATGAGCCAATTGTTAGTTGCTCCTGTACGCGCTTTCTAGTGAAAACGTTGCGCGCATAGACGGTGAGCGTGCATGGGTCACGATGCGTGCGCGCTGTGACAAATGTTGCTGTAAGTAATAAACAGAAAAGATCTAACAAAATTTTTTTTACAAATATTTTCTTCAATAAATGCAGTTTTCGAAAATATAAACGAAATGGAAAACACTCATAGAGATGCAACTTGAAAATTCATTTTAAAATTAAATTTTTTTTTTTAAATTATAAAAATATATTTTTTTAAAGCTCTAAAGTCACTACGCGTACATTCAATTCATCAACTTTCGTCAAATACTTTAAGAGAAAATGAGTTTTGAAAAAAAGATTGCTTAAAAATAGTATATTTGCTTATAAAAACTTAAAAAATTAAAATTTTCCAAAAAAAAATTCTCAGAATCCCTTTCACATCTATAAACCCCTCTACCCACAATCCGGGGTCCAGCTGAGAAATTTTCACCCAATATGAAAAATTTGTAGTGCCAATACTTTTTGCCGGCAGTGTATGTACAAAAATTAGAAAAGCTCAACAAAATCGAGCAAGACAATCTTCTAGTTTGAAAAAAAATTTATTTTTGAAAAAAAAAATTGATGCGTCTCGAATTTTTGCTATGATCGTCAGTTTTTTATATAGAAGAAAACATATCGCTAGCTTAGAATGAATTTTGATACAGGACGCTAGAGAAATTTAAAATGCAGTATTTCGTAGAGGATAAAGGTACTTGTTTTATTTATTCTCGTTTATATTCAATGAAAGGAAACTTTGTCCAAAAGAACTTAAGTCCAAAAGAAGCACTGAAAATCTGATAAGACCGAAATAGTATGAAATCTTTTAATGAAGATGGAGCCTCTCTGATTCGTATGGAGTTTTACTTTTTATAGAACAGACAAAATATTGTATTCAAAGTTTTGCGAAATACTTGAGGAAAATGCCTTTAAGAAGTTTTTTTCCTCTCCTGTAAAATTTTTAAAATGGTGCTTAGAAACTGTTCACTCTAAGCTAGAGATATATATAATACTGCTACCACATTCAAAGTACACTACCCAACATCAGAGTCAGAGAGAGATCCGATAAAAGAATGTACTCAAAATGACAATTTTACCTATCAAAATTCAGGAGCAGTTTAATAAATTCTTAATGAAAAAGAATTCACGTCGAAAATGAACAAAGAATACAATATTTTTAAATCTATGAGAAACATTGCTCCCGCTCTTGGTGGCGGAGGATACAAATACCTGTTATTGAAGGACTTGGCCTCAGTTGGCGCTTCCAATTGACGTCAACTAGCTCAGGAAAGAAACTAGTAGCGTGCTCTTTTTGAATTCGATCAACATATAAAATACCACACAGCTTTATATGTAAATTAGTTTTGTCTTGGCTCCGGTTTTTCAGATGATTTCCAAAGAATGAAGAGCATCAAAGAGAGTCGAGCACTAACCGCGATAATAATTTAAGATATAGCAATATAGCATTATTACATACATATATAGAAGCAGTAATTACTACAGTGCCCGTTACTGTCGAAATTCGACCGTTTTTCTAGTTTTTAAGAGCCTTGGAGAAGTTTTCTAACTTATAAGGTTCAAAGTAACCTATTGGAAAATCTCCTACTTTGGAAATAAAACGTGACTACAATTTTTTATAACTTTTAAGATATTTGGAGGACTTCGGCAGGACTTCAGTGTGGGGCTTAAAGAATGGGATAAGGGGTTTAATATCAGTTCTCTTAATAACAGCCTGATAAATACATATTGTCTATTTAGACTAGACTCTATATTTTGACGGATTTTAAGAAAAAAGACGTAATTGAAAATAATAAGTAATAATAAAAAACGAGTGTTTTATGTAATTCGAATTTAAATAGACTTAACTTAATGTTATGTAAAAGAAGTAAGTCCTTTACAATCAAAAAAATTATCTGACTGTAGAAGGTCTTAAAAGTCCTAATCATCTACTCAGCTAGG